TGAGAGGACACAGTGAGAAGGAAGACCTACAGAAGAAACCAAACCTGCCAACATCTTGATCTTGAAATTTGATTCTCCAGGATGGTCAGAAAAATTTCTATTGTTTAAGCCACCCTATCTGTGATACTTTGTTCTGGCACCTCTAGAAAACTAATACATAGAGTTTGATCACTTTTTAAAATATTTTTTCTATGGAAGTTTGATTCCAAGTATCAAATAATGATAAGCACATTTCTGGAATGAATTTTATGGAGAATACTACTGCATCAAATAGAATAATGTTAACAAAATTAATTTCTTTCAATTAAAGTGTTATGGAATGTCAACAGATATTAAAATGAACTTTACCCTCTGTAACAATCTAAAATGAATCTTTACTTTTCACAACAACCTAAGAGAGAATGTTAAAATAGCACCATAAGGTATTCCAGGATAATTTTTACCAGTCTCTGCCCAACCAGTACATTCTTGCTAATCACACTCAAATGTTATAGAGGGTCTGCTGCTACATAAGACAAGTATCAGGTGTACTGCAGATATTACAGAATGTGAAGAACCTATGCCTTCAAGTTGACACAAGAGAGACAAAATAATAATTTATTACTAAACAATTATAAAGTGATAGGTGTCTCAGAGAGAAAAGGCCAAGTCTTATGTGTACAGCTTACAGGATAGGCTTCATGAATACAGAAAGATTTCTAGGAAATGAGAGAACAGATACAACAATGTAGGAAGCTTGCAGGGAATCAACTTCAAACCTGGATCAGAAAAGAGAGTGAGGCATCAGGGTAAGACTACTGAATAGCCTCTACAGGAAGGATTTCCTGATTTATAGAAGGATAAGAAACCATTTCATTATAAACATTTAAAGGTTAAAAGCAAGAAAAAGAACAAATAAAAACCTCTCCACAACTATGCCTACTGGACCAATTCAAAGAAGACTCTGATTAAACATTTCTTTGGGCCACTGGATGTCAGCCTTCAAGATAATGTCACTGACAATCTTGATAGTTCATTCTCTGTCAAATAATTTCCCTATTTAATGTAGAAATTTTTATAAATGGATATAGAATAATTTTTTTTATTTTAAACAAACAACCTTAAGGCTGTTTGATTTATACGGTGGCACGGCAAAGATACCTATAGGAATAGGATGAGCAATATCATTTGCAATGAATCTAGGTTAGGCCCTGGCAACACCTATCCCTCTTCACTCATTAAGATGCCTCTCATATGTGTTCACAAAAACCTCACCATCTTAATTATTAAGCAAGGTTTCATATGATATAATTGAAATCACACTTAAAGTGTATTTAATATCACCAAACATTTAGATGTGACATTTCTATACTTAGACTCTGAGGTAATCTCTCATCCTATAGAACTGAGATACGGAATTGTTGAACAGTATATATTCTCAATTCCAGATACATTTTTAAGGACCTTTTTTTTTCTTGAGACAGTGTCTCACTCTTGCCCAGGCTGGAGTACAGTGGCACGATCTCAGCTCACTGCAACCTCTGCCTTCTGGGTTCAAGCAATACTCCTACCTCAGCCTCCTGAGTAGCTAGTGTTACAGGTGTGTGCCACCATGTCTGGCTAATTTTTGTATTTTTAGTAGAGACAGGGTTTCATCATGTTGGCCAGGCTAGTCTTGAACTCCTGACCTCAAGTGATCCTCCTGCCTTGGCCTCCCAAAGTGCTGGGATTACCAGCATGAGCCACCACGCCCGGCCAGGGCTTTTTTAAGTAAAAAGAAAGCAAACTTTCTTTCTATATGATAATTTTAATATGAATATTAAATCAAACTTTAATAGCTATATGATAAATAAGATTGCGATTTCATTAAAAAAAAAAACAAAAAAAACTAAAGGCCAATTACATTGATTTTACCAATCTACCTAATTCTAAAATAGACTAGGAAAAAAATAATTCTCATTTTATTACTGTTTTCTTTTTGTTTGTTGTGAAGGTGGCGGTTTTCTGAGGTGTGATGCTTTATCTCTTATCTCCGTCTTTTCATAACACGTTTATGCTGGAAGCTGGAAGGAGTAAGCTGTAACTTTAAATGGAAATATGGTTCTTAACAGCTGTTTCTGCTATTCTAAAAATATCCTTCTTCCTCATGGTTTTAAAAGTCCCAGGTTCTTCTGTAGCTAATAGGATAGGGAAAAAAAAAAAGCCATTCCAAATGTTTTTCCAATTATAATTTTGGAAGTATATGATCAATTGGAAATCATGAACTTTTTTAAGAGAAGAAAAGGAAAAGAGGAGTATTTATCTACGTGTCCAACATGGTGCTGAAGGGCTTACAAACTGTCTTATTTAATCCTCCCAAAATGGGAGGTAGGTATTATTTATCCACAATGAACAGATGAGGAAGCAGGCTGAGAGGGGGTCAAGAGGTCACACAGCAAGTAAGGAGAACAGCTTGGATTCTTTTCAAAGCCACGTTCCTCCCACTACACACACATGCTGCCTGTGCCTACTGTGTGCTGAGCCTCTTTGTTGAAAATACTGGGGGAAATCACCTTGGATTTCTGTCTTATTTTTAACCTAAAAATCCATATTTATTTACACTTTGTGGGACACTTATTTCATTATTCTCTTTTATGTCAGTTTGCTTTTGTACCCTCCTCTATTCTTATCACTAAAGCATTACCTTACTTAAGAAATAACTTTGTAATAAATAAAACTGCAATTTCAGAAAAAAAAAAAACCCTAAAGGCCAATAATATTGATTTTACCACTCTATTTAATTATAAAATAGAGTAGGAAAAAAATAATTCTTATTTTTTTGTGTGAAACAGAGGCCTGGACAGGGAGTCAGAGAAACCTGGCTCCAGCGTCTGTTCTTCCAGTGACTAATCGCCTTTGACTAAACACAGTCACTTTAAGTCCGGCCAAAAAAGCTGGATTCTAATTCCTGTTCTGCTGTCTGACTAATGTGTGGCCTTGGACTCCTGAGGGTCTTAGTTTTGTCTCCTAAATCAGGGATAATAATCATATCTACCTCACAAGATTATCATGGAGATAAAACGAGAATGAACCATAGACATTACAATAACTGGCATATAGTCAGTCCTCAACAAACCTTAGCTATTATTATTATTAGCCAGAATATAAATCTTTAAGATTCCATTATCTTAAAGTGTATCTTACATTAATATATATGAAAGTTAAGTTATTAGCCCAAGTGACTTACCTTGGGAAAAGTTGTACAAAAGTTAAACTGGAAGCAATCATTAGTTTTACAAAAATATCTTATACTTTACAAAATGACTCATAAGATTATAAAAAATAACCTTAAATAACTGAAATGATTTAATATGTAAACATCTGAGTAATGCATACATTTTTCAGAAATATCCTTTCTTGAACAAAGCCAGCACAAGGTATCTGAATTTCACATCACAGTTAAGTGTGAAGGGAGTTTAATTACAGTTTATTTATCAGTATTATTATGGTACATACCAGTCCATCTGTTAGCAGCTTCTTTGGCTACTTTATTTGCTTGGCCTGAAAAAAAAATTATATATATAAAATGAAATGTATTTATATATATAAAATTATCTTTAGCTATGTGTACATTTATATTTTTTCATATGAACAAAACTTTTATAAAATTTATATATAAAATGGCTATGAAAAAAGCTGAAATAGTGACATAATATTGTATTTTACAAACTCTTGCAAATTCCTAAGGAAATTTAGGGAGCTGCAGTAATATTAGTAATTAATGGAAAGTCAAAGTGAACAATTTCCCTTTCCTAAGTGTCCATCATCATTGTACTTGCTCCTTTAAAGATAACATGTAAGTTTAAATGAGATGTTTTTCAAAGAACTCACCATACCAAAATACAAGTTAAATGTAATAAGAATTTTACTATACAGGCATTATAAGACCACAATAAGTGTGACTCTAAAAAAAATTTTAGTGATAAGAAAGTAGTCACATAGAAGGAAGGAATACACATCGTGCTATCAAATGTATCTGTATGTATATTATGTACTTCAAGTTAATCTGCACAGCACGTAACAGTGCCATGATTAATGGGACATTAACTATTACTTAAAATGATGGCATTTTAAATTGAAAGATAATTTATATGTTACAAAATTCAGCATACTAAACTATAAAATTCAGTAATTTTTATTTATTTACTTATTTAGGGACTGGGTCTCACTCTATCTCCCTAGCTGGAGTGCAGTGGTGTAATCATAGCTCACTGTAGCCTCAAACTCCTGGGCTTAAGCAATCCTCCTGCCTCAGTTTTCTGAGCAGCTGAGACTACAGGCATGCGCCACCATGCCCAGCTCATTTTTTTTAATTTCTTGTAGAGACCCCCTATCTCTACAAGATATTCTGCTATGTTGCCCAGGTTGGTCTCCAACTCCTGGCCTCAAGTGATCCTCCCCATCTTGGCCTCCTAAAGTGCTAGGATTACAGGTATGGGACACGATGCCTGACCTTCAGTGGTTTTTATGATATTCACAAAATTGTACAACCATTACTACTATTTAACTCCAGAACATTTTTTCATGACCCAAAAAAAAACCTTTGTGCCCCTTAGCACTCACTCCACATTCCTTCTCCCTCCGTCCCCTGGCAACTACTAACCTAGTTGCTGTCTCTTCTCTATGGATTTCCCTTTTGTGTACATTTCATATGAACGAAACACACAATATGTGGTCTTTTAGGTCTGGCCTCTCTCACTTAACACAATGTTTTCAAGGTTCATTCATGTATCAACACCTCATTCTTTTTTAAGCTAAGTACTATTTTACAATTTGCTTATCCATTTATCAGCTGATGGACATTTGGGTTGTTTATGCTAATACGAATAATAATTTTTGTGTGAACATGTTTTCAATCATCTTGGGTATATATTTTGGGGAAGAGATAAATTGTTTGCC